TTAAAACTATCATAAACTAATATTCAACTATTACAAACAATTACAAACTCAAACACTGAGATTAGCATGAAACCTGAATTTAGGCAGAGTAATTTGGAGTCAGACGGCAAGATCCTGATTTCAAGTAGGCTAAAAGCTTCAACTTATCTCCTAAAGTGTTTTTCCTTTTCTTTTCTTTTCTTTTTTTTTTTTTCTCTTGTGAAAGGATATTTTGGACTTAGCTGAGGTGCTTTCAGTCTCCTTCTGTTTTGTTAGCAGGGAGCTCAATAAGGTGGCGCATTCTCTGGCTAGGAAAGGTGTGGTTCAACAGGGTTCCTTTGTTCGTCCCTGCCCTGACTGGGAACAAGCTTTGGTGAGAGTGGACCTGATTAACTTGTAGATTTTTGTTTCTTGAATATCTCCTCTACTTGTCTTTATTAAAGGATTCGGCTATAATACCGAAAAGATATGATATCAGAAAGTCTTACGGCCAATCAACTAGTATCATAAAAGAGGTGACCAATCAGATAATATTCATGACAATTCACAAGAGTGCTTTGATTGGTCAAAATTATTGTGGTGTCATATCTTCCAATATCATAGAATTTCTCTTTCTTAAATGTTGTTCCTTTAGGGATGCACTGCAGTATCCCCTTGGACTTGTATCTATTGACCTTGGTTTCATTAATGAATTCCTATTTTTCTTTTGTCAAAAAAATAGAAAAAAAGGTATTATAATCATCCTCAAAAGTTAAAATATTTTTGTTCAATGGGTTCTTTTCTTTAGGAAGATTGATATGATAGCTTTTGGGTATTAATAACTTTAGACACATGGCTACCTATAAAAAAGCTAACTACTCCAAAGGATGTGGGGTTCATGTTAATTTTTTAAACTAATTTTGTAGATCAAATAAAAATTTGTTATAAAACTTTTAAATTACAAATTAAACCCGATTTAGTTATTTAAATTAAATAAAAAATTCATAGTAGATAAAATTATAAGATAAATAGTGAATCTAAAAAAATGATATTTTTGCCAAAAAAAATGATAGACAGGTGTAGCTGCTCTATATTTAGCACATGATCATTAATTCTCTACTACTCAAACATTACAAACTGAAGCTAACCTATACTTAGATTTCACAAACCATGCTCAACTCTCACAAATTCATACTCAACCATCATAAATTGAGATTCGATTAGAACAAACTGTTACAAACCCATAATCAATCATTACAAATCTATACTAACTACTAGAAATCATGTATAATATTGTATAATATTTACATACCCATACATGACTATTACAAATCAATGTTCAATTTAATACAAACCAAGATCTAATTGGTACTTATCATTATAAACCATATTCAACTATTACAAACCCCATGCTTAAATCATTACAAATCCCATACATACATCTCTATTTCAAATTTGAATTATCTTTATCAATTAATGCTGCTACAAATCATATACACATAAATGCAGTTGTCAAGATCTGATCACAAACAACAACATTAAAGAGAGAACTCTTCACTAGGGTTCAAGTTCTGATAACTACTTTTCCTGATACTCTTTATGTCTTTGAACTTTGGCTTACCAAGCGACAACCCATAACCTCAAGAAATTACTTGGGTAAAAAGTGTTTTTAGTATTATCAAACACCAACCGATGCATCGAGAAATCTGCACATTTTCTCAAAATGTATTCAATACAGAGATGGGTTCGGATCTCCTACCCGCAAACTCTTCTCACATCCCGATCCACATGGCATTGCAGGCTCACATTGGGAATACCTCCTTTGTCATGGGGAGATGTTCCTAATTCATGACGATAGTATTGTGTGGGTGGTAATGTGGGAAAGAGTGTGTGGATAGGAGATTCGGAACAAGTTTCAAAATATCGATACACTCAATATGCCGGTAGAGGCGTATCAGAGTGTATTGGTAGTTGTTTCTTTTTTTTATAAATCTGGTTCAGAGGAATCGGTTTAAGGTCCATCCACTCCCTGAACCCACTTAGACCCCGAAACATCCCCTTTAGGGACGTATCGAGAAGCCCCCGATATGATATGTATCGGCCGATATGGCCTGATACATATTGATATTTTGAACCTTGATCTAGAGTATACAGAGATGGCTATGATTCCCTTCGAAGGATGTATGTGAAGTCGATACACATTTCATTCTTTAATGGGAAAATCTATGATAGGGAAAAGATATGATATGGAAAGAGTCTTGACCAATCAAAACCCACCCATGAATTTTGATAAATAACACCTGATTTGCTACTACGTTTATAATTCCAGTTTATTGGTCAGTTATTTTTCAGATATCATATCTTTTCCATATCATAATCGAACCCCTTGGTTGATGCAAAAGTCATTGTATGACATCTGATATATTGATTATAATGTCTTTCTTATGTGCTTTTAATGTCATTGAAGTGTCTGTTGGATTTATGACAATTTTATTGATGCTTGAATGTGTTCAAACCATTCTACATACATATCCAATGGATACCATGATACATATCCATTTTTTACATTAGTGATACATTTTGCACAAACTGATGGATGGTTCAAATGGTATGGATGGTTCAAACTTACAGATAACCTAATATTAAAGCATATCTGTAAGTTTAAAAACTGATATGCAGGTGCTAATAATTTGAATCTTGGGTGCTGACATGAAAATTTTAATAATAGTTTAAATGTTGGTCTTTTGCATTAGTCTTACGTTTAATTCTAAAATGGTATCATAAAACATAACATGGAATTGAAATATTAGTAGTTTTATTTCACAAAACTAAAAATTAAACCAATTTTACATGTACTCGTTAATTGACAACCGATGCAAATGATTCACAAACAAAAGAAGATCTTGGCGTACAACATCGATGATAACATTCTGTATTTTTCCATAGGCCTAATTTTGTTTGTTATGCAATTTCATTTGCACTGGTTCAAAAGCATAGGAGTGCAAAATTGCAAATGAATTGAATGCAAATTCTTTCACTGTCTACATTGCAAATGAAGTAAAATAAAACTGAAAGAAAAGTAAACCCAAAGAAAAATTGAACTAGACTATACAATTTTTTCTATGCTTTCCTATGTAATTGTATTAGTGCAAATGAAATTAGATTGGAAGCATAGCCTTGAGAAAATTCTCCTTTCACAATATAACTTTCATGAAACTCCTTGATCTTTCATTCTTGTTTTACCTTTCAACAAAAGTGCATGCTAATATACTGACAGTGCACAATCCAACTATGCATCAGAGAATCCATACTTGTATATGTAGTCATTCATGGGAAATGTTCTCAGTACACAGGTGGGCTGCCCTGCTTGCTAGCAGGTTTTATTCTGGGAGAAGGTCAGGAGCCAATCTCCAAAAGCAAAAACCATGCAGACACTCCATGGCATCCAGCCGCACGTTAGTAATGTGCCCCTACATTTTTTAAATTTATAGGGAGATGTTTCCAATGTGCAGCTGAATGCCATGTCAGGAGATAGGGATGTTCATCATATTGGTTAGACCGGCAAACTACACCGAACCAAATCAAAATTAGTGGTTTGGTATAATCTGGTCATAAAACGACTTGATTTGGTCTGCAAATTCCTCTGATCATAATTTTATAGTTTAGTTTCGTTTCAACTTTGAAACTTGTAATTTGATACCCAAGGAGATATTTATATTTGAGAAAGTGTGAATGACCAAGGTTCAAAGTATCGATACACCGGTCCGTATCGTGCCAACGGCTTCCCGATACACCCCTCCAGGGGTTGTATCGGGTCAGGTACTGGTTCAGAGGGTGACCAGGCCTTAAACTGACCCATCTAAACCGGTTTCAAAAAAAAAAAAAGTAAAACCTAAAAAATAATACCCTGTGTCAATACTTTGAACCTTAAATATAACAGTTTGATTTCCATACCCAAGAAGTGTTAACACAGTTTTTGCTTTCAGTAAATCCCATCTCCATAACTGGGACCTTTCAATTTAATGTTGGTGACAATTGTAGCCAGATTTCTTTTTTTCAGATCCAAGGGATTACACACCGTGGGAGGGGAGTAGCCCATCCCCCAAACCCATAAACCCCCAGTTCAGGTACAAGTGAGATTTGATCCAAGTCTGCTACAACTAGGAGACCTTACCAACCAACCAACCAACCAGTTGGCACCTTGCTGTAGGCAGTAGGAGTGTCAATTGGACTGGAATTGGTCCAATCCGGTCCAGTCCAATGTGAATCCATTATAAATAGACTAGGTCCAATCCAATCCAATAAATGTTTTGAACCAACTTGGACCGGTCCAATTCAATGTCTGGACCAGATATTGACTTAATCCAACCCTATCAAATATAAATTTGTTATGGACAGGCCAGGTCCAATCCAATCTAATAAATATTTTAGGCCAGATTGATCCAATCTAAAATGTCTTGTTGGTCCGTCCAATCCATCCAAATTGATTTTGGGTCCAGTCCAAAACCAGTCCATTAACACCCTTAGGCAGAAGAAATCCGAATGCCAAAAGTGCATGGATTTTAATGCGTTTGTTTACAGTTAATTTACTTGAATTTAATAACGAAGGCAATATTAGGGGCCTTATAACACAATGACCATCAAAACCCATCTTTTGTTTGATTCATATGAATAATTAAAGATATCTTAATAAATACAACTTTAAATACAGATATATTCGCACCATTGTAGTTTGAATAGATAGACCGTAGACGAAAAGGTGTGAGTATATAGGTAAGGTGTCCCTGGAAAAATGAAGTATAGGAACTTGGGAAGAAAAGAAAGTTAGGATTTCAACGAACAGGGCTTCTTGCATTGCATCCATTCAATGGTGGACCTCCAACGGCTGATCCGTTTATAAGACACGTTTAAAATTTCAATTATTTAATAAAATAAGGTATTGTCCAATTTTTCTTTAGAAGAAAATTCCTTGTTCGTAGATCTTAAAACAAAACACGGTAAAAATAAAATCTGCCATGATAACACAACCAGAAAAAGGGAAATGGAGAAGAAAACAATTAGCATAGACAAAATGACAATATTATACACAGATTACGTACATTCAACAAAAAAATGAATACAAGATAGATAATGGAAATTCCTATAATTACCTCAAGAGCACAATTAGAACTTAGAATTTACACGTGAGAATATAATACAACAAACTGCCCTTGAGAATTAAGAACGAGGAGCTGCCATTTGCTGCTTCTTCACCCTCTCCCCTGGCTTCACCATGCTGATCAACAAGTACCATAGAAGTTGGAATTCAAAAAATAGAAATAAAACTTCAACTAAAATAAAAGTAAAATAATCCCAGTTCCATGGAGTAGAAATGAGCACTTCTCTTCTGATTTCCTATACTAGATGCCACTCTTGCTTGCAAATTTGGCATCATTGTGGTTGACATGGCATGTCAAACTCTACATACTGAGCACTTTACGTTAAGGCCCCATTTGCTTTTTAGGAAGTTATTTATCTGGGTAAATGTTTATTGGGAAATACTTGCCCGGATAAGTGCATTTACCAGTGTTCTTTTATTTACAATGGCTTCCCGATACGCTCCTATTGGGGGTGTATCAGGGTTCTGACCGGTTCAGGGGGTGGAGGAGCCCTAAACCAGCCACCCTGAACCGGTTTTGAAAAAAAATAAAAAAAAAAGCATAAAACACACTATCGATATCGCCCGACATATCGGGCGTATCAATATTTTGAACCTTGGTTATTATTAGAAGGGGAATTTTTGCCCCATCCAAATGTTGACAACTTTGCCCCCAGGTGGGCGTATCAACTTTCCCCCCTCCCAAAATCCAAAAAAAGAACAGGCCCCAAGTCGCAAGTGGGAGATCGCAAAACAAAACGTTAATTCAAACATCCATTTATTGTTATTAATGCTCCTCATACGTTAGCTAAGTACTCAAAGCTCAAAGTGTCAATACTCTCAATACACAACTTTAGTCTTGAAGCACTCTTTTTTTCTTTTCACTTATTTTCATTTTGACAATTTCGAAGTAAATAGTATATGGAACTTATTAATGATTAAAACCATTGAAAAGTTCAAAATCCTAATAGCACACATATCGGCACCCACACCACCATGCTGTGATATTTTGAACCCTGTAGGTACTACATAAGTTTTTCCTTTTTTGTATTACTTTACAATAATGTTCAAAAATTTTCTGTAAACCTATATCCAACAATTTGTCCTGTCATTTCCTTGCAATATCTGGGTAGCATAGCTTCTTTTCATGGATAACCCTTTTTGACATCATCATCATCATCATCAAAGCCTTATCCCTACTACATGGGGCTAGCCACATGAATCCTGTTTTTCCATCCTGTTCTCTACTATGCATGGGGCCAAACCATCTTAGTCTACTTTCTCTCATTTTATCACCTATTGGAGCTACTCTTGGGTTCCTTCAAAGGGCTTCATTTATGACCTATCCTTTTAATTTTTTCAACCATCTATCCCAGCATGCGCATTTCTGGCACACTCATTTTTTGGACATGTTTCCTGATTGCCCAACACTCAGATCCATACAGCATAGCTAGCCTTACAACTGTTTTATAGAACTTTCCTTTTAATCTAAATAGTGTCCTATCATATAAGATTCTCGATACGTGATCCACTTTGCCAATCCTGCTCTAATTCTATGGGAAACATCCTCCTCAATCTCTCCCTTGTTATGAATTATAAAAGCAAGGTGCCCGAAAAGGTCACTTTAAATAGTTTAGCTATTTAGGCATGCTCCTCTTCTTCTTGAAGTAAAGAAAAGAGCCTCTGCTTTCATGCTCCTTCTGATCCTTCTTGCTTGCTCCGTTCCTTGGCTTCAGCTATTTAGGCATCTTTTCTTTAATTATCTTATTAAATAGTTTAGCTAGCCACAATAAGCCTATTTAAATACCATTAGGCCCTAACACCTTTCCGTTCTTCATCTTATTTAGTGCCCTCATTCACTTTAGTAGTTTTGATAATTGATAAATCAAGGTACACGCTATTTTTAACACTATTGGTATTACTAACCTTTCCTCCATTAATACCCTCTATATGTTCATTTAATAATTTTTCAAAATAGCCTTTCCATCTTTTCTTGATTTCCTCATCTTTTTACCAAGATTCTTTGATCTTCCTCTTTAATGCATCTAACATGGTTTAAATCTCTGTTCCTTCCTCTCATCTTTGCTAGTTTATAATTCATTTTTCTCTATCTTTAATGCCTAATTTATTATAAATCTCATCAAATGCCTTAAATTTAACTTCACTTGCTTTATTTTCAACTTCCTTTCTTATGGTTCTATATTTTTCTAAGTTTTCTCTATTTTTAGTCTTTTGCCAATCTTTACAACATGTTTGATTTAATCTGATTATATTTTGAACCTCTTCGTTCCATCACAAAATTTCTTTAGCACTTTTCCATTTCCCTTTAGATTCTCCTACAACATCATTTGCTACTTATGCAGTTATCCATTTCAAGCCACATATCATCATCAGTCTTCCATCTAAATTCCACTTTCCATCTACTATCAGCTTGTCTCTAAATTGTGCTAGTTTTTTTTTTTCTTTTAGTTTTTCCTACCTAATTCTTGGACATCTATTTTCTTCTCCGTTTTTCTTCCATTTATTAATATGCACATCTACCACCACTAATCTATGTTATGTGGTTAAGCTAGAAATCATGTCAATGGAGGGATTTGTGTAAACATCCAAGGTTTTATGGTTGCTTCAAGAATAAAAATTACATTTCCCTTGCCCTTTGATTATAAAAAAAGAAAAGGAATTGCAGTGCTGCATTTACTGCATATTGAGCTGGGACAATGATCGTTGCACTTATCATTTGATTATAAAAAGAAAAAGAATTGCAGTATTGCAATTACTGCATGCTGAGCTGAGACAAGTCAAAGGGTTACTACAGACTGAACAGTAAATACCATTGGAATCAGGTATAACTTTAGGTCTTTTAAGGTAGAAGGAAGCTTTTATGAACTCTTGATTTTAGCAACCCCAATTTGCCTTGAGGCAAAGGTTTTACAGTGCAACCAATGCAGTAACATCAGTGGCAGGGGCAGTGGATGGTATAAAGTGGGGAGTTGGTTTTGGTCAGAGCAGGTTAACCAGCAGTTCTACATTCTTGGTGAACAGATGTACACTGCAGTATAAATATCGTCCACCTATGCATCAACAACATCCATTCCTGAAGTGCGCAAGCCTCTTAAATATTGAAATGCCAATAATGTGATTTTGTAAAAAAAAAAAAAAATATATATATATATATATATACCTGATATCATGTGGAGTTATGAATATCCATTGTGACCCTTGTGTCAAGGCAAAATCCACAAGGGTGTCCAAGCTGATTTTACGGCTAACAGCATCCTGAGAATAACAGAAACCAAGGAGAACCTCTTAGGGTGGGTGGACTCAGAACCCAATAAATAATGGTAACCACACACTAAAATAGATCTTCAATTTACCATTTTAGACAGATCAATATTTGAGAATACTTTGTCTGTTGGGGAACAACAGCCTGGGATGTTGAAGTGGTTTTTCCAATTCCACATGACACATCAACCCATTCAGACCCCTTTTTGTCTTTTTACCAAAGGATTATTGAATGCAATTACTCTTTGGCCCCACACCCATGGTAGCGTGTCATGTGGAAGAAACTCCTCAACAACATAGGCTGTTGGAGGACAACAGACAAAGTTTCCCCCCAATATTTTGGGACAAATTCTAGCTTATCAACAATTAGGGTTTCCAGTTTTAACTTAGATATTCTTGTCATATTAAGGTACATCAATATCCAAAACTTTATACTGTTTTTTGTATTTCATAACATCATCATCATCATCCAAGTCTTATCCCAACTATATGGAGTTGGCTACATGAATCCTGTTGCATAACTCTTATGAATGCAACAAACAGCATGGCTGTATCATGTTTTTCCAAGGCTGGTAAATCTAGCACTCCATGTCGACTCTAATAGAATGCTACTCAAGTCTCAATTACATACGAAATGAACTACTTACCATAAATACATCAAACTCATCCATTGCTCGAAAGGGGGCTTCTGTCATCTCATGAAGTGCTAATGCAAAGCATAGAGTAGAGAAAGAGCGTTCCCCACCTAATAATCAAAAGCAAACAACTATCTGTAGCTACTGTGATTTATATTTCAAAAAAAAAAAAAACAATCAAGGGTCATTGTATCCATGTTGCAGATCAACAAGAACAGAAAATTTTGAGTAGGAAAACCTGAAAGCCCCCTGGTATCACGGACAGTGTTACTCGATGCATCTTGTGGCATTTTTATCTATAAGAGAGAATTTGCCTAGGTCATTAAAAGGGGAAATGTATATGTTTCTAGAATAGATATCATTGGAATCACGTTCCAATCAATAAACAAGTGGATTTAATGACCTGCTATGAAAAAGATTTCTCACCTCTACAGAAAGTGTCTTATCTTCATAACTAATCTTGATGTGCCCACTGATCCCTTTCTTCCTCAAATGACCATTAAATCTAACCAAGAATAGAGTAAGAAACAGAACATACATGTATTTTAACATAAAAGCAGCTTTTCAATGTACTCAATGATTAAGTATTATGAAGAAACATGACATACTGCCAAGTCAACTGACGTTTAAGCAGACTTGCATTCCTTTGGAACTTGCTCCAACGTAATTCCAGGGCTTTCTGGCATGCCTAGATTCAACAATATACAATTCATAAAGGGAAACAACTTACTAGAAAATGAGAGCAGAGCATAGCCAAAGATAAACAATACAAGTAAGTCACAATAACAACCAATTTAATTATATTTTCCCAACTTCCATAAGTTCTAGAGATTTTACTATAAATAGGGGAATTATTATAAATAGTAATTTTGTTTTTCCAAAATTAATTACTGTCATTTTTAAATTGCTTTACTTTTAGAGGTTGTTTGATCTTTTCACTTCAGGATTTTTTTCATGCCTAAGAAAGTATCCTAAATATTTTGCCGGAAAGTTCCAAGAAAAATCAGAGATTTGCTTTGATCTTAATCATTGTCAATGAAGATTGTTTTTAAGTGGCAATCTAGCATTGTTTGGTCATTTGCATGTTTCTACAGAGGTAGGAAGTGACAGATTTTCTGTGAAGTAGGGGCAAGCTCCCACCTCTTCTCCCTCTATTTTAATATCAATTTATAATGGGGCTAATCCCTACAGTGTACAGTTATTTTATTTTCAACTAGGAGGAGCTAAAATATCCAATTGAAGGTTGGAGGAAAATCGTATTTGACAATTGCAAGACCAGTAATTCTTTGATTGTAAACTTATTTCTTTTAGTTGAAGATTCTTGGTGATGCATGTTGCTGGCTTGTTCAAGTTTTCTAGGACCAAGTTTCATTGTGTCTTACACATGCTTGATGAAATTCTTAAAAGGATATAGGTCTTGATTAAGAGGGATTCTTAGACATGTTTAAGTACCATCTATTTTGTTTTCTGTTATCAAATTATTACGATATTTCCTACCAGGCAAGCTAACTAGTATCTTGAGAGGGATTGTTGATAGCTTTACTTGTCTTTTATTATTCTGTTTTATTCATTGGTTATGGTGGCAGAGGTATTTCTATAATTTTTTGAGTTAAGAATCATGATATAATAGGATATGAATGAACGGGGTGCAAACAAAAATCAGTTCAGTATTTTCTCTTGTCCTTTCCGCTCTCTTATTTCTTGATTAAATCACCATAGCTTTGTTCAATTTTTTCTTTATTTTTGGAGATCTTTGAAGATATTTTAAGGAATATTAAATTGTCCTTAAGTCTTAACTAGAAAAACAAGGCCACAAGGCGCACAACCAAGGCTATTAAACTATTTATTGGTGGAAGAAGAAAATTAGGGAACCTTATTGGTAAGATAAAGGAACCCAAAGAAGAAGATCTTACTCATGAAAAATGGAATAGGCATGGTTTAAAGGGAAGGAGGATGAAGAGGAAGGGGGGATCTCATTTTTTTCTTAGTTTTAATAAAATCTTTTATATTAAGAAGAATAAAGATGCATAACATTAGTTCAAAGGGGGGTTTGGGGGCGAAGCCCCCCAGTCAAAGGGGCAGGGGGCAAACCACTTTCTTTCCCCTTATCTTTTCTTCCCTTCCATTTCCTTTTCTTTTCTTTCCTTTCCTTTTTTTTTTCTGTTTTCTTTTTTTCTGTCTTTTTATATAAGATGTGCATGAGGCGCATGAGGCGTATGCCTCTAGCACGGCTCGTGAAAAAAGCACATGAGGCGTATGCCTCTTGCACCTGAGGCGTACACCTCAGAGGTGTCAGCGCCTCTGGCATAAGCCTCAGGGTGTTTTGGGAGTGCCTCGCCTGGGGGCCCATACCCTTTAAAACACTGGTTGGCTATGATTCAAACTCCTAGAGAATTTCAAATATGAGTATTGCCAAAAAACAAAAGTACAAAACATACCAATAGGTGCTGCAAAGTACATCAACATTTGAATCTAGAAAGATTCCACAAAGGAAAATAGGAGATGACAAAATTGCTATTGCATCTACCAATGAATCTTAGTCTAGCATGAATTCCATTGCTACAAAATTGCTATTACATATACTTCCCATTCTCATTCACCTTCTTTAATCAACCCCAATGTGTTAGACTATATTATGGGTTTGTCATCTTTTTTCTTTTCTTTTCAGTTCTTAAGAGTTGTATCTAGATAGAGATTAGACTACCATTGATGATAAGTCTCTTGCATCTATTTCTTGCAAGGGAGATCATACGTGGTAATTAGTTGTTGCTGTGTGCCAAGGTTAGGTCTATATCTAGTCCACCAATCCGAAGCCCCAGATAGTTGGGACCAACATTGTGGATAATGGCCTTTAGTTATCTGTTGCTATTCTTTGTTCTTTATCTCCCACAGCTATAGTGTTTTAAAAGCGCAAGGGGCAATTTGCGCTCGAGGCACAAGGCGCAAGGCAAGGTGGGCATCTTTTTTGAAGCAAGGCGTAAAAATACAAAAATGCCCAAAAAAATAAAAAAATGTCAAAAAAATGCCAAAAAATAAAACATGTTAAACATAATATTAATAAAAACATAAACTTAAATAAAATAAATATTTTAAAAAACCTATTATCTAAAATTAAAATACATAAACATAACATGTAAAGCACATTCAAATGAAAATTTAAAAATAAAATCAAACATATTTAACATTTTCAAGCATGTAAAGCTCACAATCTCTTTTTTCCTCAATTGCATTGCTGTAAATAGCTAATGTGATGTAAAATATCTTGCATTACTGATTCTACGAGCCGCCTTTGTACCAAGCCCCTCGAGGCAAGCCCAAGCAAATCCATGTTAGGGTCATAAGTTCTTAATCCTTACACAAAAATAAATGATTTTATAATGTTTAATTGTCTTTTAGAAGATATTTTACTAGGATGAATGAATGAACAAAAGGTGCAAAAAATTAAAAAGGAGCAAGTCCGGGCTGAAGCGCAAGGCACAGCAAGTGCACTCCTAGACACACTAGGTGCACACCTTTTGAAAGTGCCACACCTAGGACCTAGGCAAGGCACAAAACTTAAAATGCACCTTGCCTAGGCATGCCTGAGGCACACCTTTTAAATCATTGCACAGCTAACTACTAATCTTTTGTCTATAAGTAATCTTAAATTAAACTGATGTGTAACCTTGTTTCCTGCTCATTGTGTTGCCATCCTTTTATTCTTACAAATTTCTGTCCTCTTTTCAGCCTCTGTAATTGAAAAATATTGTACAAACCACTAAAAGAAGAATGGTATATAATATAGTTATAACCAACATTATCATCAAGAAAAGCTAATCAGAACTTACACTAAGTTTCTCCCGAAAAGCTTCATAAGTTTGCTGTTTCCTAAGTATTTTGCGCTTTTTCTTCTCATATAAAACTTTGAGATCATCAATAGATTCAGAATACCTGAAAAGAGATTATAACAACATTCAGCAACATGGAAAAACAAGCATTCTGAATAATATAAACAGCTTTAGGAAGTTCCATAACACTGATAAAAGGCATACAATTGCATGCTAACCTTTGGCTCTCTTGCTGAAGTCTCTGATTTAGTCTACTTAGTTGAGCGCTTAACTGATCTGGTGTGGTCCCATCACAGCCTCCTAAAGCTTTGATCTCACTCTCAACACAGATAATAGAAGCTTTCTTGGAACTCTCCTGCAATATAATATCAAATGACAACCATATGAAACTCTTGGAAATAGAAGTACAAATTACTTGTCAAATTAAACTTTACCATTAAAAATAAAAAACTATGGATGAAGCAGCTAAGTTAAATGTAGCATTATTGCAGATATTAGTTCATAATCTTAATGTTGGATATGACACTTAATAGAGCACAATGGCGGAACAAGATTCATGTAGCTGACCCCATACAGTTGGGACAAGCTTCTCTACGTTGAGTTCATAGTTTGAACAATTTAAAAATTAGCATGTCAGACACTATCTTGCTTTGTCCAGAAGAATATTTTCAGCAAACAGAAAATGCAGATATTTCCTATAGTTTATTCTGTGTCATGTGTATCTAAAAATATTGCTTTCATGTGAATGTTTCATACAAGGAATATACCTAGAATATGCTATGTAAAACTATATAAATGGAAAATGCAAGATCCATGAAAAATAAAGTAAAAATCAGTACAGTATTTGTCTAGATGTGATGATGCAAAGCTGGAAGAAGTAAAAGAATCCTGGAGACAAATTGCGAGAAAGTGGGAGAAATCTAGAGATTTTCTTTTTAGAGCTCACAGGTCTTTAATGCAATCACAACCCAAATTGATGCCCTCTAGAGAATGTCAAAACAAACATGAAGGCTCCTTAAGTCCAGTGATCAGAGTATTTCAGGAGAGATTCAAGTTCTTCCATGTAAGGGTTAGTGGCATTTCTGTTATTGATCAAAAAAAGGGTTAGTGGCATTTATGCAGCGTCATATACCTGGATATTCTCTTTAACATTTTTATTGAGAATTGATTTCTATTGTTTATACCTATAAAACTTCTAAGTGAGACTTGGTGTTTAGGAAATTAGAAGGAAGAATAAAAGGAAGAGGAGTGAAGAGAAAGAAATTTGTGAGAACATTGAAAGTGTGAAGCATCAACCTATCAACAAAGTAAAATAACCATAATACCCTTGTTCGTCTAAGAAACAATATATAAAATAAAAGGTAATGAACCAATAAAATATACTGTTTCAACACTCCATCTAAAGTACATTTTAGCCTCAGATGAGGAACTCCTTCAGTGAAAAAGTCTGTTAACTATTTATATGTTATTAAAAAGGCATACATCTCCTAATAACATCAGCTCAATATGTTTGGTGCAATCATTCTAATACTGCATTGTGAACAATGTTAATAGCTGCTTGATTATCACAACAAAGCACAAAAGGCATATTCAAAACAACTCCCACCTCCTCCAGCAGTAAATATAACCATAAAGCTTCTAGACCAAGCACCATAGACCCATACTCTACCTCCAAAATAGAACGACCAACAGAAGACTACCTCTTGCCTTTCCAGGAGACAATGTTACCTCAAACAAATGTGCAAAAACCAAAAGTAGACCATGTGTCATCTAGCCATCCAGTGATCATACCATAAAGCTTCTGAAAGACCATGCACCGTAGCCCCTTCAAGTAGGCATGTATATTGTAAACAATAGCAAGGTGTGCACGTATTGGATAACAAAACTCATTGTGTATGCAACATCAAGCCAAATCATACACAAATTTAGAAGTATACCAACTAGCCACTAATAAATCTCACAATCCTTAATGGCATTCATGGAGTTGCCCTCCACACATAGGGAATGAAGGGCAAGCTGTCTAGAAATCCTTAGTCCAGTAAAAACCACCAAAACCTCAGCCTTGGAAGAGTCTGCCATACCAATAGGACCACTGAAGCCCAACAAATACTCCTGTCTTTCCTTAAAATGATCCCACCAATGCCTGCCTCCCCTAGGTTCCCTTTAGAGTTACCATCAAACCTAAGAATGAAATCAGCCTTCATCTTCCAAGTGAAGTTAACTGAGTGTCACATGAACTAGAGGAAAGAAGAACCTCCTGGAGGTTTAGGTGCATACCCCTAACTGCAACACCTTCAAAGATAGTAGAAAAAGTGCATGCAAGATACAAAGATTTCCAATGTGTTCAACGGTTCAACCACTTCCTCAAAAGGTCTTGCTTTGTTCTTAAATATACACCTATTATGCTTCTCCCATATGCCCCACATGGCCTCATGACTGATAATACCCTAAAAGAACTAACCCCTCGTGTACCAACTCTTTACAATGCCACTGAGTAATAAAATCCACGATATTTCCAGGGGCCACCAAGAAAAGATCAACTAAGCTATGAATGGATATAGCAAGAGCTGCATACTCAAAGAAACACTATGACCATTATGAATATTGCAAGAGCTGAGTAATCTAAAGGGTATATCTGTACCATAGGTCCATAACTAAGCTCTCCCCTTATCCTCTTCAACTATGAACAAGAGAGTAGACCAATGATAGAGAAATGTCACCTATAGTAAGGATGTGCTGACATGTAAAATCATATTCAGGATTCAGCTCCTACCAAGAATTCAAACACATTGTTTCTATCTATAATCTTCTGGTAGACAATTGCACCTTTAAATATTCCACCTCAAGACTCAACTATTTCAAGATAATCAATCTCTTGTCATATTTTTTTCAACATAGAGAAGTACATAGAAAAAGGCTTCTCTTTGCTGGAGGTTACTCACCTGACACCTAAGTTGGTAGGCCCTAGCAACAATGAGGTCTTGGGAATAAGTTGCAGATGCATTATCCTAGATTTCTTTAGTTGTTTTCATCCACAAATAATCTCTACCGAAATGTCATTACATAGAATTTACCAGCTATTATATCACAAGTAAAATCTCCTACATCCGTGGTTTAAAATGTCCCTAATTTCCCTAATATTTCCATGACATATTTCCATTTCCATGGGTAGCGACACGAAATTTTACTGTAATTGACATTTCCCCAATAAACACTATCAACACTATGTGGAGTACAAGAAATAGTTTCCAAGACATATTTCCATTTCCACTTCAATGGGTAGCAACGTGAAATTTTTCTAGAATCGACATATTCCCCAGTGAACACTACCAATACCATGTGGAGTCCAAGAGATAGTATTATAACAAAAGTTGCAGACAATATTGTAGGTATGTTAACTAACAATGTTATTGTCTGCCTAACTTACAATGATTACCACTTTGAGCTAGTTCAATATTCATTTCAAAAATGAAGTTAAATATTGGTTTTTTGTTTGTGTAATAGATTATTTGGTAGATCTATTACAACCATTTACATTTTCTATGAGTTAAAATTTTGCTTTAAGTCATTCTATCATGAAGCTCTAAATCTTAAGGTTTACAGGGCAACTTCAGAATGTATTCTTTTGTCTATAACCTTAGTTTCTTACATAGTTACCAAGGTGCCCGCCTAAGCGTCACCAAGGCGACTAGGCATCCTTGGCTGAGTGCCTCACCCAAACGCCTTGACTTTTAGCAACTAGGTGCCCTTCTAGGCGACTAAGCGCCCGCCTAGGCGACAAAAATGACAAGGCGGGTGCCTCTTATAATATCATCTACATTGATGTATCTTATTAATGTATGTGTTAAAACATTTTATTATATGCTATATATATATATCAATATACTTTGTTTTAATGTTTTCTATTCTATCTCTCTAATTAAACAAAACAGAAACTCCATCCTTGTTTTTTCTATTTTACTTTCCATCTTGAATATTTATCATATAAAGTTGACCTTCTTTAGCTGCTAATTGATATGAAATTCTCTATTAAATTGTTATTATAGCAGTATTATTTTTTAAAATAATTAAATTAATATATGTAAAAGATTTTTGTCTTTTAAATATGATGATTTGCCACATTTTTAGACGAAATTTAATGTTCTTAATAAAGAGAATTGCTATTTTTCGAATATTATACATGGTGAATGGTATATAAAACTAGGGAACTAGTCAAAAGTTAGATTTTTATACTATAAAATTTTTATTGCCTAGGCGCACGCCTAGGCAACTAGGTGCCCCAGTGTTGCCCAACATCGCCTAGGCACCTTGAAAACCATGGCTTCTTAGCTTTGTTTAATGATATTTCATTAAATATCATTCTATATTTTGCATATTTTACAATGTTTCCACCATGTCTATAATTTTTACAATATTTCCATACGATATTTCTGACATTTCCGACATGTTTCTTATATTTGAATGACTGACATATCCACCAACATCGACATTTTAAATCATGCATCCAATTCCCATTTTCCAGAACTTGGATATCTAGTTCAACCTCTACTGCTGTTAGGTAACCAAGTTTACCATGACCTCCTATAAACATGCTTGCAGATTCAGCCCATTCTAAATAATTGTTCTTGTCCAATTTCACATTACTGATTAGGGTGTTCAGACCATCTCCAAGACTAATTACACTCAGACTAGGGTCCCATCCTTGCTTGTAATCACCTCCTATCGAATCCATATAGTGATAATCTTTCAAGGATGTTGCAAAAAATCCACTAGGATACGCAACAAAGGCTCTTAGGGTTGATCTTCCTACAACACTATGCATATGTGTAGGGAATCTCCTACCCTATAACTAATAGAACATGGAAATCTTTGTGACACTCGCTCTAAATCTTCCAAAAGCCTAACCAAACCGAACTACCCTCTCTAGGAAAAGCCAAGTGCTACTTTAGATTGATCCCAACCTTGCTCAAATTGAGGAGAAAAAATCTCTGAGTTTCTTGATATTGGGGAAAATGAAAAGATCTCCTTCTTGAACACCAATCAACCATCGATAAGTTTGTTGAAGATTAATTAGTTTTATGATGTTTTTCTGAGTAGATGCTTTATGTTAGTTGTTAGATAGGAGGTGGGGACCACAATAGTTATGTGAGTCCAAATTTTATTATGTTTTTGAGTCTTATATATGTTGTTTTATGTTTTGCCGCCCTATAAGGGCATAGTTGTCTTTGTACTGCTCTATTATTTTTATTATAAATAATAAGTGAAGGGGCGGCCAGATTATTGCTCTCTTTTCTTTTCAACTTCTCTTTTTCTCCTTCTCTCTTCAAAAACTACTTTTCTTTCATATTTTTTAAT